ACGGCACTCACTTCGCCCATCGCTGGTATCGCTGACACCTGTGATTCCCGCCAAAAGCCCAGCAACCCAAGGAATGACACAAGACTGATAGTAGTCTACGTATACCGCACGCGCCGGATAGTACCATTTGTTGCCCATGGCGCGTTTGTAGATGCTGTGTAAGTGGTTGGTAGAACGCTCAGTTGACCGACACAACACTGAGCGGTGTGTGTTACAGGTTTGCGGTGTTTATGTAGTTTATAACCTTTTGTTCGAAAGCACCACATGAGGGGATGGGGGAGCGATACCGAACTTTTTGAACTTTTTGAACTTTTTGAACTTTCTGGCCATACGGAGGTGTGTGCTGGAAAACCTTCGCCAAACAACTTGCCTCTACTATACGAATTTAAAATGGGTACAACTCTATGCATCCTCGTCAAAGCACCACACAGAAAAGACCACCCACTCACCTATTCCACACCCCGATGATGGAGCTGGACATGAACCACAGATGCGGATAGCTCTGTGACATGGGCACTGGCGTGAAGTGTGTGTGATCTGGCAGCATAATGACCTCCGCCTGTGCCAGGAAGGTCTCTCGGTGCGCTATTTTGTAGTCGCCTCTGACAAAGAACGGCCGTTTGTGGCGGCGCATGCCTGCATCGTTATACACCTCGTCCCTATGTGGTGCGTGGTGTCAAGTGAGCTTGGTGGGATGTTATATGACTTGACATAAAGAAAGCTTATAGCAATGTCTATATGACTTGGTATAAAGAGAGCTTGTAGTAATGTCTATGAGACTTGGTATATAGTGAGCTTGTAGTAATGTCTAGATGACTTAGTATAAAGTGAGCTTGTAGTAATGTCTATAAGACTTGGTATAAAGTGAGCTTGTAGTTATGTCTATGAGACTTGGTATAGAGTGAGCTTGTAGTAATATTTATAAGACTTGGTACAGAGTAGCCTTTTAGTAATGTCTAGATGACATAGTATAAAGTGAGCTTGTAGTAATGTCTATAAGACTTGGTATAAAGTGAGCTTGTAGTGATATTTGTAAGACTTGGTATAAAGTGAGCTTGTAGTAATGTCTATAAGTCTTGGTATAGAGTAACCTTGTAGTAATGTCTATATGACTTTGTGTAATGTGAGCTTGTAA